AAATTATGAAGACCAAAAGCAAACATCGTGAAAAATGAAATATTTAAAACATTCATTTACAGAATTCATTTTACATACATGAGTATAAATGAACACAATCTAATTATTTATTCAATTCAGGTCAAAATTACATTCTACTTTGTAATGTAATAAATGGGAACTTTTTTATGTAATCATAAGCAATTGGTCTTGCTGCTCAGGAAAGAACTGTATCTCTGAACAAATTATATCAATTATATTCACGGATTAACAAAATTTGATAAGCATAATGAACAAATCTTATTAGAAAAATTTTCTCTAGAAATCTATAATTCGGACAAAAGTAATTTTAGTAAAGCTGTTTTGTCAAAATTGACTGTCAAAGGTATGTAATAGTATTATAAAAAGGTTTATAAGAGAGGTCAATAATATAGGGCTGGATTAGATAAGTGTAGATAAAACAAAATATTAAGAAAAGTAGAGTTTTCATGAGGTGTTAGAATTATACACTTACAATTATAAGTTTTCTGTGACTAAACTAGTATGTGTATATTCTTGAAACTTAATGTAAGAGAAATATATTTGATAGATTTGACGAAGAAAAAGAGTTCTAATGCAGTGTAGGAATAAAAAACAGACTTCTTCTTAATTGAATACCGCATATTCTTATTTAAAATAAACAGCACAAAAAAAATTTTTTTTTTAGCTAAACTTTTTGCATAGCTCAGTGTTTCCTCTTTCTTTGTCTCCAACTGAAAAAAAAAAAAAGAAAAGAGATGAACCGTACAAGAAGTTAAGCTAAAAAGAATAGATCTATTGTTTCGCGCACTGTTTATTTTATCTCTATATTTCTTTAGACATAACAATGAACTAGTCATTGTTATGTTCAAAGGGCCATGTTTGGATTCTCACTCAAATGCTCTCCAGTGTCATGCCATTCTATCTTCGATTGCAGATGAAAGTCGAGAGTCCAATTCAGTCATCGAACACACCGGTAGCCACGGAGGCAACCACCATGCCTGTGATAATGGCGGTAACGCAATCCCAGTCCTCGATCATCACCCAGTCACCGACGACTACGTCTAACAGCATCGTTGTGTCCGTGCCGTTGATTGCCACTTCGCTTGCTAGTGCGGTTCAAAGCGTGGTAACGAGCGCGCCAGCGATGTATCAACAGGTGCAGCAGAGTATAATAACTACAGCCGCCAACACTGAACCGCGATCAAGTACGATACCGAGCATCGAGAGGTTCACAGAAAATATACCGATAAAACGAGCTCGGTAAGTCTTCATAATCGGTAAATTTTATTATAGAACTGTTTTTAGAGTTCCAGTGCAATCTAGTGCAGGAACAGAAAACAGTAATAGTTACGAGAGGTTAAGATTTAATGAGAAAGTTTTCACTCGCCATTGGAGTCTTTTGAAAAAAGTGCAGCAAACATATGATCTGTTCTTTTCAGTTGTATTTATTGTCCTGTTTACTTTCCAACGAATTTAAAGAATACGACAAATTTTTGAGCTTGCTGATTGGCTGTAGGATAGAGAGATCCTACAGATCAAGAACTCTGTCCTGCAACCAATTCACATACTTGAAAAATTTGCCAGATGACAAATGTAATAAGCTTCGTCTCTAGGAGGTCAATTATGTAACTTTATTCCCTAGAGCGGAAATATGGGCTGTGTTCCAAATTTCCTTCCAGCACAGAAAATACTACAGTTTACGTTACGTACATTATAGATTTTCAGTACTGGCAGTTAATTTTGGAACACAATCAAAAAGTGAAAATTTTTTGTATGTGTGTATATGTACGTACATAAAAATTCTTATCTTTTATATTTTCTAGAGAAAAAGTTATATGATTGGTGCCCAAGGTTGCGTTCAGAAATACTATCTGAATACTTCCGAGTATTTTATCCTTGTTGTTTATCAAGGATAAAATGATTAGGAGGTATTCTACCTGAATGTCTTCGAGTATTTTATCCTTGTTGTTTATTAAGTATAAAATGACTAGGAGGCATTCAGGTAGTTCGAATACTCTCCCAGAGATGCATTCAAATTTTTATCCAAATGTTTTTCAGATATCATATTATTTTCTAACATTTATAGTTACATTTATGGTTTACATTCGGTAAACCATAAAGATGAAATGATACTTGGGTGATAATCAAGTGGGAACATATCCTAATGTGTGTGGAGAGAAAAAGAAGAAAGATATTTTCTAATACTCGTCCGTTTTTTAATTAATCTATCAATATATAATAGATTAACTTCAATCTCAGTTTAACTTATTCTTTATCTTTTTCTAATTTTTAGAACTTGGAGAAGAGTTAGTTTGAACTGAGATTAAAATAAAATCTCATTGATAGAGTGAATCTTACTCTAAAGAGTGCAATCTTACTTTTAAAAATTGAAAATTGAATCACTCTTTTAAGATTGACTCAATTTTCATTCTTTAGAATGAGATTTTATTTTAAAGAATTTAGAAAGTAAATGCAAGAAGTTTAGTAGAAAAGAGAGAGAGAGAGAGAGAGAGAAAAGATCAAAAGAATGCAGGGCTGCATTTGGGAATACACACCGAGTTGCTTCAGTTTAACATGTTATCTTTAACATTGTTATCTTTAACATAAATAACAAGGATGGAATGATACTTGGAAGCATTTGGTGTGTATTCCCAAACGCAACCCAGACAAGAGTGTATAAGAACTGATTAGAAAAAGTAAATTAAACCAACAATTTGTTGTAATTATAACTCTCTCATAATTGTATTAACAATGCATATTTTTACTGCGTAAAATTCTGCCACAGGGGAAGAAATCACAATGGAGAAAATATTATATTTAATTGAAGTTTAGTTAAATAAGTTTAGTTACAATGTGAATAGAAAAGTCAAGAAAATGTGTATCTTTTTGTGTCGTTATTGTTGCAATCGAAACTATGAACATTGAATTTATTTAGTGAGAATTTGTGCAGTGACTGTTCGCGAGATACTTCCGAAGTTTCAAGTGAATCCAGTTCAGAAGTCAGGAAGGAAAAGCACATGCGGTTTTCTGGAATCCCAGGAGTTGTGTCACGCGCCGCGTGTGTTCAAAATGGCGGGCGTGATTAGTAAACAAGGTGGTCAAAGTTCTAACCTCTTCTCATTTAGAATCGGACAGAATTCGCCTACGGAATGCTTGTCCGATTGAATACTCGAATAGTCCTATTGAATGAAAGACGATCATCAAAACACGGCTGCGTGCCGCGCGTTCGTATCGTAAGTGGAAGCAGGCTCGACGAGTCGCAAGTGCGACGGAAGATGGAGTGTGTTTACATCAATGTTATGTCTATGTATTGAGCACGGCGGTTCACTCGGGGTCATTCGGCGAGCGAACTCGCGCGCGCGCGCTGCATAATATGTAATTGCATCGCGGAATTGTTGCGATATTGTGACGTGTTTGTGTGCGATATTGTCGTAATGTAACGTTGTAATCTCGATAAGACGGGAGTGGAAGGAAAAAAAAAAGAGAGAAAAAACGTCGCCAGTGTCGAGCGGCCGCCGTGACTCCATTCGCGTACTCGACGCGCGGATTGTGGCGAGCAGGAGGCATTGAGGTTATGTTTGTTTTTTCCTCGGCGAGGCGCCTCACGGGCAACGAGCGACGAAAGGGTGTAACGTGACATCGTAAATGGCATTCCGTCGTGACGATTCGCCTCTGTGTGCGTCAATCTCGTTCCTCATCTTCGTTTTGTTAAATGGTTCGAGAATATTTAAAAATTGTGTTTCCCATTTCGGGATAATTTCTGACCGTGTGTTAAAAGTAATAACGGGTTTTTTGTCATGCTGTTAGCTAGTTGTTACATAAAATAATAAATATTTTTGTATTTTGATAGAAGAGTTTCGAGTTTGATGTGAACCACTATGCTAATAGTTGCGATACGTTTGTTAACTTCCAGTTCCCAGTCGTCGGACAAGCAAGAGAAGCCTCGCAAACCAAAGCGCGGCTCCAACAACCAATTATCACTGCCGCAGTCCCAAACGTCAGTCTCATCAATCGTAACCTCCGTCTCCAGCACCGCCGTTGTGACAACGACCAAGAGAGGCGCGAGGAACAATCATCAGACCCCTCCGCCCGCCGCCACGGTGGCCCCAGTGCCGTCAATTATTCAGGGCCCTGCATCAGCTACTGTCGGACACTTCAGTAGCATCAGTGGCCCAAGTTCTGTGAACATTATGGGGCCCACTGTCAAGGAATCGCCTCCCAGCAGTCCAGGATCAGAAAGCATGAGTAGCACCACGAGCAAACGAAAGAGGAAAACTGCCGCATCCACTCCCATTCCGTCTGCATCGAGTACACCGACTGCTCTTACTAATATATCGATAAAGGAGGAGAATAACGTGAAACTGTAAGATTTGCTAAAAGATTAAAGAGAAAACGTCGATTAGAGAATAATATGAATATCTTTCTCTTTTCTCAGATTTCAAAATGGAGTTAGTGCACCGCACATGCTAGGGAATCAGTTGAATCCTACTTCGACGATGGCACAAAAGATGTCGGATACGCTTTCGCAGGAGCTCGAGGCCCATTCCATTTTTACAGAGGCGAGTAACTCCAATACAAACTTGATTGGACCGCAGCTGCACAGTCGAGTAATAGCATCTGTACGTAAAAACACGTCAATTTGACATATTGAATTCGAAGCAACAAATCTTGTTGATAATATGGTACAAAGCAAATTAAGTCTTATATATTGTATCGTTTAAGAAGAATTGTTAAAAATATTTTATATTTTAAGCAGATACGATCTGGCCAGTCGAGCGCACCTTCCACTTCGTTCTCTACAGTTTTTTCCACGAGTAGCAACACTGGGAGTCTTAATACAGCCACTACCAGTGGCTCTTTGGGTAGCGGAGCGATCCCGCAGACACTGGATCAGCTCTTGGAGAGACAATGGGAGCAAGGAAGTCAATTCTTAATGGAGCAAGCCCAACACTTCGATAGTGAGTATACGGCAAGAGAAAAATGCGCTTAAAATTGCATGGGTTTGATAAAAAGGAAAGGCCATGCTTTTTCCGTTTTTCGCGATAACATTAATTGACTGATTAAAAAAACTGCATGTCACGCTTTACATTAAACTTTTGTCGTAAAACTCGTCTTATTTGAAATTCTTATTTTTTATATTGCTTTAGCCTTTTAATAGAAAGCATTCTCCACTTAGATAAAATATAAACCAGCAACGTTATCAAAATCTGTTGCAGTTGCATCCCTGCTTTCCTGCCTACATCAATTGAGAGCTGAGAATCTTAGGCTAGAGGAACATGTAAATAATCTCCTGCAAAGGAGAGACCATTTATTGGCTGTGAATGCTAGACTTGCTATTCCGTTGACAACTCAACCTAGTTCACATCCAGGTTAGTTAGATCTGCCATTTCATGATATATTTTGTATCTTCATGAAGAGGCACGTGCATAATGTATCTTTTTATTATTTTCAGTGAATAATATACATCCAGCGGTGAATCCGTCTCATCCTAATGTCTCGCACTCGGAAGTGCCACCTGGCGCTCCTGCACCGGTACCTAGAGTGAGCCGTGAACCGCGAGTAAATAACGCGTACATGCCTCATTCTAGTTCCGGTAGTCATCCAACGACATTGGAGAACGGTTTGCCACCAGATCCTTCCCCGCCTGCAGCTGCTTCTCTTGCTCAGTATCACCGAGGATCACTGGTTGCACCTCAGCCAAGTCCATCAATGAGGTAACGTATTTGTTTATAGAATATCGTGTTAATGTAATCTATTCAAATTTGTTGTTTACAATGTAGGCACAGTCCGGCTGGAGCGGGATATCTTCAAGGTCAACCAAGCAACATAGTATCGCCAGCACCAGCGAACACTTCCGGCGTGGTACGAAATTCATCTGTCACGCCAGATCCGCTGCGTGGTGTACCAAGGTCAGTAAATAGTATCTTCGTCTTATTCTGTTATATGTATATATATTTTTTTGTTTTTATATATTTATATAAGATTGAATTTAGAATTTGTGCCGACTAGCCACAGGCCACCACTCAAGTCAACAGCTCTTGCACAGAGTTACGCGTTACCACTTATTACAAATATAATTTTTATTAATTACCAGGTCGGCGGCACAATCGTCGAGCAGTTACATGCCGTCGATGTATCAGCCCACCATGTCCAGTCTCGCCAGCAACCAAGTAGGCGGAGTTCATAATCTTCACTCGCATGGACCCTCTCCAACTAGCCATGGGCCACCAGGCAAGCCCAGCTGAAGGTAGATTCAAACTTGACGTGGTAGCTGCGGATCTTAATTATTAAAATAAGATTCGTTAACACATACATATGTTATCCAGCATCAAAGGACCCAATCTCACCGCAAGAGAGACCTAACTGCGCTTCTTCGTAAGATATTAATCAATACATTTTTCTACGCCACGTTTATCGGCAATCGTTTTTTTATAAGAAATAAATTACTTTAGTGATGTCGATTGCAGTTTACAATGTACAAACATATATCTCGAGATTTATATCTTTATATCTCTTCACAAAGTATCTTAAAGCTGTTACATGTATATCAATCATATATATATATGTATATATACACTGTACAAATCTAAGTATTTTACACCTATTTGATAGCGATTTTGTCATGGATCTCATTAAAAACGCTGTGTTCATGTGTGCATCAAATGAAGTATTCACTATAATTTTTTTTACAATCTTCTTATTTTTAACTTGTTAGATTTTTATACGTACGAGTTATATGTACATTGCAACTGTAACAATATATTAGAGGCTCAAATAGGATGTATAATGTAAAAAATTTAATTTAAGACGAAGAAGCAGTTAGGAAGATTTGTCTCGCAGATTTTTCTAACATTAAAGATATTTTATCATGAAATAATAATAAAATTGTTATAATTTCTTAGAATATTAAATGAAAATATTGCTGGAACATTATTATAAATTAAAAAATAGTAATTTTTGTCTTTAATTAAAGAGAAAAAATTAAGTATATTTGAGACATACTCTTTATCTCTCTTTGTAGGGATCATCATTGAACAGCAAATCCACAGATGTACAAATATTAGACTGTAAGTTAATCTATCGCGTTAAATAGCAATAATACAGTAGGTGTACATTCTAACGACGGTAACTGCGCGTATTTCTGGTGGTGCGACAAAAGGATACGCGAAATTTTGTAAGAAATTAAAGAAAAGAGAAAAAGAGTTAACGAAGAACACGTAACCAAAAATCGAAAGGAGAGAAAACTGAATCACCGGTTACATTGATTTCGATAAGTTAATCGTGCATACCAACTATTCCTGTTATACACAAACGTTCTATAAGAATCACAATTTTAAAACCGATATGCTTGTGCAGCTTTTCTATTTCTTTAGCGTACCACCGTTCAGATGTACCGCAGCGTGTGTACTATACGACAATGATAATATCGAGTGCAACCTATTTCAAAGCTAATTTAATGTATATTCTAATCTTATACACACACGTATAAAAAAAAAGGGTGGAACACCCAAATATGTACAAGACGAGCACTGCCTTTCGCCAACAAGAGCTGTGAAGTAGGTTGATCGCAATTCGACATTTTCTAGCGAACGCATGATCGTTTCGTTTAACTTCATCTGCCGTCCTTTCGTCTCATTATCCCTTTCCATTCATCTTCCCTTTTTGAGCCTATAGATTTCATCGATATTTGGTCATCATTATGCATAAATTCTCGAGGAATGCAAATAAAAGGAGATATTGTGCCATCGTTTGATCTGTTGTAAAAAAAAATTGAAAACATAATATTCCGACTATCATGTTAACCCTCTAATAATAGGGTCGAGGTCAGATGTAGTAGAACTACGGCTTCATCAAAGCGTTTTTTTATTTTACTACAATTATTTAAAATCATTAAACTTTATTGTATTTTTTTCATCTACAAAATAAACATAGGACGAAGTTTAAAATGTTATTATTTATTTTTTACCCATTTTTTACATTGATTCGATAAAAAATAAACAAAAGGGGTCGAGCAGACTCCAACTTTCCTAGATACGTTCTGAAAATCCACCATACCATTAGAGAATTATCTGATTGTATTAATTACTTGCTAAAATGTCGATATGACTATGTGGTCGATATTTGTATTTCGGTACTTATTTAGAAAATAAATTCATATAATTACACTATAATATAATTTGTATATCGGAATTTAAGATATCAATAAAAAATTAATGTACTAAATTAAATTATGAATGAGAATTATCTTTATTTGTTAATTATGAATGGATTACATCTATTCTCCATTAACTATTTAATCCAATTTATTTACTGTATTAAATTATTTAACTAATTTAATTTAATAAATAAATAATGAATTATAATTTTGTTGATCAATTTATAGATGGAACAACGTTAATCACGAGAACAATTGTCACATTATGGATTATAATAATTTTAACGAAATTGTGATTGTAATATTATTCGAGGGTGATAATGAAAAATTACAAACAAGATCGAACGACGGCGCAGGTCTTAATGATGCAAATATTTAAAAACTTGTGAATATTTGTGCGATACATATTATATATGTATATGTGTATGTATTGAGATCGCGATATGCGCGAATAATCGTGTAAGATATGGAACGCCCGATCGTTTGAAGTCGAAGCTACGTTGCTTAAAGATGTAATATGCGTATATGTCGGAATTGAAGTTAATTCATTTCGCTTCGTTTCCGTGAAGATAGCCTTCGATTTTCTATTCGCACCATCATTGTCTATGATTTTCAAGAGCGTGCGACGCCATGTGCAAATCGCAAAATCAAAAGTGCTAGACGATACGGTAGAACATTTTTAGAAGATAAAACTTGGTAAGGAAACGTAAAGTATTCCGCTCAAAGGCTACGGTATTTATAATAAAATGTAGCTCGTTTATAAGTTGGCGAAGAAATTTGCATGTGATACTGCAAACAAATCACAGAATGACAGGCAATGTAAAACGACAGTTGGAAAGGGAGGGGGAAGAAAAGAGGATCGACAAGTGTCCGCTGCGATCGGCCCGAATGCATAATTCACGGATAAGGTTTCGTCGTGTCGTTGAAATTGCGGGGAAAAAAACCAAGGAGAATGTCATACATGTAGTATTCGTAGACGTCGAAAAGAAAATGAAGGGGTACACTCGCAGGATGATACGTCCCATGCTGTCGCTTTATTTTTGCACCATGGTTACGAGCATAATATGAGATTTCTTAGCCTCGCAAAAACTAATTAAACGAATGAATATGATATACGTACGTATGTTCGAATTTGTCGTACAAAACTAAAATTTTCCCAAGACCACCTTCCAGCGATTACTATGTTTGTCGAGTAGCACAGAAGAGATTCGAAAAGTTTTACGAAGAGCTATAGAGATCGACTGATTATATTTTACCGCATTGTGTTCTTTGTCGTAATCCGACGATGTGTTCTCTAAATCTGTATATCAATTTTCTCCACCGCATTTTTATTTACAAGATAACTAGATATAATGCGTTCTACGTAAAAGTATTAGTTCACATTGACTGGAACATGTTAGAGGTGGTTGAGGGACAATAGGATAAAGTAAGGGAATCGATTGTATTGTCGACTAAATTTGTAAGTCCGATTAGCGATTAGAAGCGGAATTTTTAAGCGAAAGAGAAAATTAATTAGGAATCTAGGTTTATAAATTGTACGATAAAAGTAATATTGTATATTCAACGGAGCGAGGTGCGGGAGTAGTAGACATGAAAACACCAAACCTACAGAATAGCTTATCACCACTCAGGGAGAATCAGTTTTACGCAAAATTCTGCCGAGTTTTCCTTGTGGGCGTCGATTATGCACGCGAGTACGTAACAGTCGAATTATCGTGCATTCTTGAGAGTCGCATTTATTACTTTGTCTTTTTCTTTTGTGTTTAATAAAATACGATTGCGCGAAAAATAGTCACTTATAATCAACATAAAAGTTTACTTCTTTTTTTTATTACGAAGTACCTTGCCACAAAATATACTTCTGAACAATATTCTATAAATGTTCTTAGGACATAGAATGTCTTCTGGATATTTTTAGGATGTCCGTTGGCAGTCCTAAAAATCTGTGCTGTAGATTTTCATCTCTACATGAATTTGATATTTTTATTTGACAAATATCTCAGATAAGTCTTGGCAAATTTGTATTTCGCAATTTAGATTATTCTTAACAAACATTCGATTCATAGCTTCTCAAGAATGTACGGCGAGAAATATCGAATTCCAATGCGTATTGCTCGTACTGATTTGGTGAGTTTCATGATTGACGACCTTGTCGAAAGTTCGCTAGGATTTCTAAAAAGAAAGAAGAAGAAAACGACAAAAAAAATAGAGAAAAAATGCGTGATCTTGCGACGTGACACGTTTGTATTGAAGAGTATTTTATGCATTATCAATATAGTCGACTGTATTGTTAGGGGATATATTATAAATATATAGTACGCGTGAGGCAATTACAGTAAATAAAAACGGTGAGGAATAAAACAGTTGTACGATATCCTAGCAGAGAAAGAGATAAAAAAAAACGAGAAAGAGGAAAAGGGGAAAAGGGGAAAAAAGTCGAAGTCACAGAGCAGTACGATGATATTTTTTCACAGCTAATCAGTGCCAAATTTTTTCAATCGAATCATTGAAACTTCTCGATTTTTTAGGCGGCTTTCGCGTCGAAACGTACATATAGAACGTAGGAAAGAACCCGGCGATATCGCGAGACGAAAGAAAGAAAAAGAAACTATTTGCACATCCATTTAGTCATTGACACGGATAGCAGTCGATAGCATTGCATCGTGTGTGTGCATGCATGTGTGTGTATATGTGAGTCGGTGAGGCTTTTCTTTCCCTTCGAGACTGCGAGCGTCGATTACTTTTTTTTTTTTTTTTTTTTTTTTTTTTTTTTTTTTTTTAAATATTACCCTGTTGAATTATCCATCGTGTCGCTTCTGCCATCATGTCATTTCTGCCAAGTGCAAGGAAGAAGAGAAAAGAGGGTGTATCTGCGCTTCTGTGTTCAATCTCCAACTGCCAGAGAGACAAAGCAAAACAATTGTGTTCCTAATCATCCGAGAATCGGGCTTTTGCGTCTGCGAGCGTATTAATTAGGTAATTTCCTGTTTTCGCGTATCCAAAGCCTTCTCCGACGGCGCGGAGAGGATGAAGAAATTCATCATTGACGATCACATCGACGTAGCGATTGTGCGCGTAGATTTTACTTTCGTAGATAAGATCTTATCTAAGAGCGATGCGTTAAATCTTATGTAATGGACACTTTTACCAAATAAATTGTCACTTTCCGAGTACGAGTATACTTTCATCGTATTTCCGATTCCAGAGATTCAGGAAAAAGCGTCTCTCCAAGATCGTCTCTTCGCGCGATTTTACGTAACTTTGCATCTTACTTCTCGCCTAATTCTCCATAAAGTGGGTTATGTTCTTTCTTCAGTTGCTACAAATCAATTGGAAATCAGAGAAAAATTAGAGAATTTTGCAAAATTTTCGGGAAAATTAAAATTCTTATATACATACCAAAATTCTTAGAAATACACAAAATTCTTAGATACAATATATGATATATTGTATCAACAATTAGTTACGATTATTGTTTCTATGTAAAAAATATAGAACGACACACAAATTATTTGCAACTAAAATTTATATTAAACAAAAAATTCGGACGCTTTGTTAAATATTATATATTTAACAGTATAAGAAAATGTCTCACGTGATTAAAAATCAATTATAAAGACAGGAGCTAAGAGCCAAAAAACACACACAATACATTTAATAATCAAATTTGTTTTCGACTCGTAACTCTTGTTTTTATAATTGATTATGTAATTACTTTCTATCGAAAAAAATTGTGATTGTAACAAAAAATTTATCAAGCAAACGTAAGTAGTGTCGCGTCTCACTTTCTTTCATCAATTCGTTTGCAAACTTTGTAATTTAACATCTTTTTAATGTTACAGTATACAGATTATTCGTCGAGCCATAATCTCGGAATAAAAATATGCGATCGACTCAAATGAACGATCGACAAAAAAGATATACCGTGAGGTCGTCCGTTTCATCACATAAGGCGACTTCGGAGTATTATTTTTGCCCTGAGGGAAGCAAGAAGCTTCCTGGACTTTCTCGTGCGCGCAAACACACGACAATCCGAAGACCGCGCGGACAATTCCGCAGCGATCTATCTCTCTTTATCCTTCTCTCTGTCTCTGTCTCCCTTTCTCTCTATACGGCCAACGATCGTGGGAAGTCTCACCTGCGACCTCGTCTCCGGCGAATCAATATTATACGAAAGCATGCGAGCAGTATACCATAGATAACGCCGAAGACAAGTCTCTTGGTGAAGCAAAGAGAGAAAGCCACAATCATTCGCTGCCTTTCCCGATTGCAAGCAAAATTATACGTTATATCGAGAATTTATATCAATCTCTTATCAAGGGAAGATTCGATTGCACATTTATTTTCATGGAGCCAAATAGGCTCTCGTTATCCTTTCTTTCTTTACACGGTTCATTCATGAAATAATTTAAAATAGACAATATTTTTCATTCAATTGGACATATGTAGTTCAAATATAGGAACACGCCAAGAGAAAATCAAAATGACTTTATTTTGACGTCATAAAATGATAATTTTTGGTTACAAAATTTGATCGTTTATTGGCATTAAAAATTAAAATAAATTTGTTTTGATTTTTTACTAACTTTTTATATGTTTCTTAAAGAGAGAAAGCACAAATAATAACAAGCTTAGATTTTATTTATATTTGAAATATAATTTTATCTTTATTACATTATACTTAATATAATTAATTAATTAGCGGATCGTTAATTCTTTTTTAACGTTGAATTATTTTTAAAAAATTTTGGATTTGAATAAATCCAGATTTTTTTTTAACAGAAACAGAATTTAGTTCGTCGCTAAATTTATTTGCATTTTGTGAAGTTTTCACAATGATAAATTTTAACAATTTGTATTACGTTTATATCCGCACGCACCGTTCTCCT